TGGGTAAGATAAAAGCTACCAACCTTCTGAGAAGACGGCATCGAGCATCACAGAACGGAGGCACGGCAAAATAACACAAGTCAAAAGGAAATTCATGTCAAAAAGCCATTCACAGATTTTATCCGGAGCTGTAGAAACTAAGAGCTATGCACTGTAAAGGTTGCCCTCTATTAACTAGGATCTATGATATTTGCAACTTAGTGTGTCTCAGCCAACTTAAGTTCCAGATGTCTTACTCTCAAGGCATTCATTCTCAACAATGGCTTGATAAACAAAAATGATAATAAATTTGTTGCAAAAGCATTCAGAACAATTTATTTTGAATAATACAACTCTGTTGTGGAAATTGATAATCTCCCTGCATTTTTACAATTGAACTTTAACTCGAAGTTAATTGAAAACGATATGATATTGTTAACATTATAATCGAAAACGTTATAAATACTGATGATGCTATTTTTCGTTTAAGCATATTAGAAAAACCCAAGATCCGATGAAATCCATACCTGTTACATTTTCCGAAAATGTAAATGTTCTATTTGTTATTAGTTTGCCTATCACAAGACCAGAAGAATAAAAAGTGAAAAGAAAGAAGCTTTTTCTCTGTTCCCTGCAGTTCATAAGCCCCGTAATATTATTTTCTGCATGATGCAAAACTATCAACAAACGCCAATTCCCGTCGAAAAAAGGACTTACAAAAAAATGTGTCATTGGAAAAATCTTTGCTTAATATTGATTTTTTTTTTTTGGTGGCAGTTACGTGAAAATAATAACTCCCTTAGATTTTCATTAAAAAAAAATTAAAAAGAATACTCCTTCTTTTGTTTTCTTTTGTCCATGGCTTTCAAATTTATCTTCAGTTTAAAGGAGACCACGAAATCAATATTTAATTACAAGAAGATAAAAAGAAAAATGAAACAAATGCGATGGCTGAAAACCCAGCAAGGAAAAGGCGCGGTTGAGGTTGGGGAGATGTAAACGAAAGACATATTACGAACTTGCCACCTTTAAGCCAAATTTTTCAAAGCTCCCTCGTATTAACCAAGTTATCTCAATAGCTTCTTTAATACAAGCTTAAAAGAGACGTTGTTGCCATCAATCTTGATAATAGGGGTCCATATTCCATTCCCACATCCTACATCCCCGTGGCAGATAACAGGATTTGGTGTTCAGTCGATATGGAGCGTAACGAAGACGCTCAGTTTATCGAAGATAAACGACTAAAAAAAATAGGAAATCAGTCGCTAAATCAATAGAAAAACGGGATTGAATTAAACTAGGATCATCTTTCCCCTCTTTTTCTTTCCTTAAAATCTTTAACACTCGATGCGAGATGAACTTTTTCGTTTATTTCAAAATATAGCGCTTACCTTTGTTTGTCAGCTTCCTTAAAGTTCGAAACCGCAACTGCAGATAAAATAAAAAATATATTTCACGGGAACTATGGAACTTTATCAAAGTTTTCGAAGTCCCATTTAAAAGTTTGCTTAGGGTTACTTGCTTAGGGTTACTTGATTTAGCGTAATTAAAACATAAATGAAACTATAAAACGATAGCATAGCAATTGATATAAAGCGAGTGTCTAAGTATATTACAATCAAAGCAACGACACATCCCTTAAGTTGTAAAATATCTACTTACTAAAATTTCATAACATGCCTTGTTCAATTTTCAATGCAATTCTTTAGTTTTGAAGAGCTCAAATGTCTTGGAACAACAGAATGCCAAATAGTCAGAGTCAATTGAAATATCTTAGAAATCTTCCGAACTTGAGCGGAGTAAATATTTTTTATCATTCCGGTTTTTTGAGATTGTTCCTTATTTAATAGATAACATGAGCAATGGATATGACTTTTGAACATGTAGATCTATAGAGAAAAAATTTGATTTTAGAGCGTAGACGTGCAAACTGAGTTTGAAGCGTACTAAATCATGGGTTTAATCCACTCTCCACTCCTCCTTTCCCCCACCCCTTACACCATGGTAGGAATTTAAATCTTGAGGAAAAAAAAATAGCCGCGCGCGGCACTTAACTGGGACATCTCCGAGGAATCCACTGTGAC